ACTTTTAACCATCTAATTCTTTTTCCAGACTTATAATTTTCTCATACCTCATACAAATAACTTAATACAAATAAAATCCGTAGGCATCCTATAATTTTTTCAATTTTGATTTTTTTGTATAAAATTAAAGTTTCAATTTTACAATCTAAAAGTCCCTCTATAACACAGATTTAACTTTTGCATAACTGTATCTGAATTAATGTGTCATGTAGTGCTCATACCAAAAAAACAGCAGACCAGCAGATGAGTAAACCAGCAGACCTTGAGTCACATTTGATATATTGTAGCTTCGGAATTAGAGCTATAACCATAGTGATTTCAAACCAGCTCCCAGCCCTGTATTAAAACTTGAAAATTCACACAAAGATTTCCTGTGCGGAATAGAAAACACATTTAGTGCAATGCTGATTTAAAATTTAATTTTGCAGAAGCAGAAAGGAAACTCGAGATCATTGTGATTTCATGATCATAGCTGGCTCTGAAGAAATCCCAGTTCATAAGAATATTATAGCTGTAGGATCTGATTATTTCAAAGCAATGCTGGCTCATAATGTAAGTTGTGTTTATGTGTTATCTCAGCCATAAACTGTTTGAGTTAACTAACTCTCTCACAGTTAGTACTGTTACCCTTGTTAATGTATTTTAATCATTGGCATATCACACTTCAGAATGCTGAGACAGCGTCTGGTAAAGTGGAAATGAAGGAAGTTGATCCATTATCCCTGCAACAATGCATAGAATATATTTACACTGGTGAATTGTCTACTACTAATGAAAATGCTGAATCTTTGATATATGTGGCTGAATTACTACAGTTGAAAGGTGATGATTCAAAATAGATCTTTCTTCTGGATTGTACCAAAAGTCACTTATTCCTCTGTGATTTAAATTAACTAGACAATCCCCCTGCAATTCGAGATATTTGGTTTGCGAGTGCCTGCATTTCTATTGTTATCCTGGCCAGTTTCTCATCGACCCCAGTTGCCATTTTTCACTGAATACAGACACGTTTATTTCTGATCTAATTCAGTTAATTTGTCATGTCACTATTTATCAATTTTCAAGTCAAACATGGTTACCTTTACCTAAATGAAAAAAATTTATTTTAACGCTCAACTTCTATTTATGTGATTCGATGATTGCAATTAAAAGTTTCGGTAATCCAGGACGTTTTGCACAGAAGTTATGTTCCCTCTAGAACTGACATGGGCTAATTACGGCCCGCGGGCCAAATCTGGCCTGTTGGGTAATTCAATCTGACCCGCCTGATCCTGCCAGAATCAAACTAAAACCAAATTTTGATGTTTTGGCTGATAATAGCTCAAGGAACTTGTTGAGATTGCGATTAAACATAGTTTTGGCACGATGCTTATTGCTTTCCACTTTTGCTTTTGGAACACTGTAAATATTGCTCATAGAATGTAAGTTTTACGTCACACTTACATGGCCCGCCAGTCTAGATTGGCAAAATTTTTGGCACCCGGTCAAAAAATCTAGCCCACCTCTGCTCTAGAATATGTCCCAAACGGCATGGATTCTGTTTTTTTTTTCGGTTCACCCTGTATTAATCCACTACATCAAAAGGAAAGGCTACCAAATAGCAATATGTAAGAAGTTTGTTTTATTATAACAGTTTGTTTTATTATAACAGATGTCTGTGGAGGCATCGTTGATTTACTTGAAGAAAATCTCGAATCATCTGCAGAATCATTCTTTGTGACAAAAAGAATCGCAAACCTGTACAATTACAAAGAATTGATGGAAAAATGCGAAAAATTCATGCTGGATAAATTTGAAGAAATTGCGGTTCTTGATGATTTCAAAGAAATAGGGGAAAGGGAATTTGATAGATTGATCAAATCACAAGATAACAAGGTATTTGTAGTGTTTCGTAAGGTTTGTTTCACCTCTTCATTCTGAACAAGACTTTATACAAGCAGACGCAGTCACTCATTTCATTGTAGTACGGTTTTGAGTTCAGGCTGACCAAAATTAACTTTCCACGGTACAAGCAGCCTCAGCCTTTAAATTCAATTTCAAGGAACTACCTGCCTTGGAAGGACGCACTGCTTTTTTCATTCGATTATTATTCAATTAAGTAACTTGAGCATGCACCATCTTAGTTTACAACGTGTGTTGTAAGTGTTTGTCTGTAAATATGATAAACACATTGACATAATCTGTGTTCTTTCTAGGCGTCAGAGAGTGGCAAACTGAAGGCGTTGATATCTTGGATAAAATATGAGCAAAGAAATCGCAAAAAACTTCTGAAGAAATTGAACAACTACATTGATTTGCATAAAGTACCGGTGACTTATAGAAGATTCCTCGTTGAAAACGAGGTTGGTTATATTTGAATTGATATATTTAAACCATTCATTTTTGCTAGGATATTCGAATATATTATTAGGATTTTATCCAACTAATAATGACCAGAGATAGGATAGGATTTACATATTTATCCCCGGGAGAGAAAAGTCCATATGGCGAACCACGGCCTCTCGTCCGGTTACCATTTCATGTCGGGTATGTTTTTAGTTATTTGTTTTTGTAAGCATGGACTTGATGGTGGAGGAAGCAATCCACTCGCACATAACTATCCCCGCATGGTATTCAAACTTGCGAACCCACGCAGAGTAATCAGAGGTGCGATGGCGAACGTATTCCTAGCGCTTAGCACGATGATCCACATCGTCACGCGGGATGTGGAGTCGCAGTTTTAACAATGCAGCCAGAGTCTCAAACTACAGCTACAGTTCTACTACAGCTAATCCTCTGATATGAATTTCATTTAATATTCATTGGTTACACAAAACATACTGTACTTTGTTTGTTTCAGACAATTGTAAAGTCTTGTCCTGAATGCTCTCACACTCTATGTATCTCTGTGATGGACAGCTTAAACGTTGGTGCTTCAGATGTTCACTCTGCTGAGAACATAAAACAAGAAGGAAAAGCAGCAAGTAAGTTTGAAATAATATGTGGAGAACATAGAATACCTTTTATCTTATAAAACTTAGAAACTTGACCCAACTCAAGATTGGTTCTAATACGAACGATGCTATAGCTCGTTTTTCTTGAAATTCATCTCTAATACAAACTTTATTATTTACAGTTGCATTGTTTGATAAAAACTCAGAAAGTCTGCAATGCTTCGATCCTCGGAATAATACTTGGACAAAAATGCAGGTTGGTATTTAACCACCTTGAACTCAGGTATATTGGCAGTTGGCTCATCATACATACATTACAAATTAACAACCCTGAACTCAGGTATATTGGCAGTTGGCTCATCATACATACATTACAAATATTATTATCCATTAGTCTCTATTGTTACTCAGATTTAAAAAAAGGCTGAAAGCTTTTGTTTTTCTGCGATTAGATTTCAAGATATCAATTGATGTTTAACATATTGATATTGATGCGTTACTTACTTTCATATCTGACATTTGAACGATTGTTTTTCTTTGCGATTCCATCTCCATGATAAATTTAAAATCACTAACCTCACCTGTACTGAGGTTAAATCTTATTTGTATTATTTTATTAATACTGTTGTTGCCACCTGCGTTTGGGGGGTTGCATTGCTATTTTGTAAATGCTCCCCGGTCCCCATTGTTACCGGCCTCACTTTGGTATTTGACTGAAATATGCAATATACCATGTACGTGGAGAAGGCTTTTTCAAGACAATTGTTCGTCAGGAATTAGATTCTATCATTCCATCATATCTGAATCACTGTAATCTTGTTTATTAATATTTTCTAGAACATACCCAGATCACGGGGTCTTTTTTCTGCTGTGGCTCTTGGTGACTACATTTACGTTCTCATGGATAATCAATCTGTTCATCGACTGAAATACTCAGATCATGAAGCTACTTGAGAGAGAATGAATGATATGATGTATAAGCATGGGTATTGTCCTCCTGTCGCAGTTTTGTCTGGTAAGAAGTTGCTTCATAGAATCTTAATGCTGGTCTGCTATATTTTAACAAAATACATTTTAAGAGTATCTGTTTGCTATTTAAATTCAGTTCAGCTTAGCCTTTTATTGTTACTATACAACTTTGGTGTTGATGATCGCAGTGACCCAAAATTCTACTGAACGCTTTGTGCAAAAAATACGGAAAATTTTTTCTTGTCTTGTATATGAAAGTTTTTGTGATTTGTAACTTTTCACTCAATCTGAGTTTACAAATACAAAGTATATATATTCTTAGGGCCAGAAGAGGGTATGGCAGAATTTCTCTGTGTAAGAAATAGTGGTTTATTTGTCAGGCTTGTTAGGATCGTATATTTGAGTTCAGGTAAATTAAGATACGAGTGCCAAGACAATAATTGCCAAGATATTTAAGATTGAGTTGCTAAAACGCACAGATCCGGAATTAGAAGGCCGACGGAATTGAGTTTATAATAGAATACACCAATACCCTTGTTTTAAGATTAGTAGTTTCGTATTTGTATATATATCTCATAAAGACTTAGTTATTAAGTTAATGTTTTGTCTTCCAGTGCTATTGTCTTATCTAATATTATTACATGATTTGTATAAATACCACGAGTTTGCTTTGCTCTAAAACAGATAGTTTTTTACCTAATCTTCCATTTTATTTCAAGTATCATTTGCTTTCTATCATTGGTCTGAGATATGAATTGTTTACAGGAAACCTCTATGCTGTTGGTCATTCCGATAGTTACTCAAGATCAGTTGAAAAGTTTGATCCATCAAGCAACAAATGGGAAGAAGTAGAAGTCAAAAATCTCAACAGTGCTCATTCAGCAGCACTTGGTGCACAAGGTGAAAACAAATGTCCAATAATGAAAATTCATATAAATAAAAATTTTCGGTTATCCGGTTTATCTGTTTGTCCTAAGTTTTTATTGAATGCCAGAAAGCAGAAAACACTTGAAAAGGTATATTTCCTGTTTAATTCCAGGTTGTATATACAGCATTGGAGGGGAAGTTTCAAGTCTTTTGAACAACCAAATAGAAAGATTTGACCCAACATCATCAACTTGGTCCATTGTTGTATCCATGAAAGAAGGAAAAGCATGGGTCGCAGCTGTTGAAAATGAGGGAAAAATATATGTTCTAGGTAGGTTGGTGCATGTTGTTACTTATGTATAAGAACTCGAGAACATATTTACAGTTATTTTATTAAAGATATGTCTTATGTAATATAGTTTGATCATTTCTGCATAGAATTGTAACTAACCGGAATATTTCAATGATTTCAAATGCAATGCCTACATTTTTAAGCTTTTTACCTGATTGTCGTGAACTATCAGTATTCCATTCATGATTTTTAGTGGGACTACGGAATTATATTGTCATGCGACGAACAATGTTCCCATGCTTGTATACCTATATGTTTACACAAATGCAAAGGTCACTAGAATTATTGTGTTGAAAATTTTAGGTTTAGGTTAGTTGTAATTTCAGAGCTGTATTGCCCTGGAGTTGTTACCTTTCATCATGTTAGTTCATTATTCACATTCATTTATTCGTTTATTTCGCTTAAGATAAATTGGCAATTGTTGAATATTAATTGTCTTATATCGTTCAGGAAAAATTGCAAGTAGAACAAACTGTTTATTTTATTCAGGTGGATATGCAAATAAGCACTTGACAACAGTTGAACGATATGATATTTCAACGAACGTGTGGTCCACGGTAACTCCCATGTTAACCAGACGTAGCTGGTTCAGTGCTGTAGTGATTGACTCAAATATCTACGCAATTGGAGGAAGGAACAGGTGGAGTTATTAAACTGTATTACATAGTCGGCAGTTATTGAAATTCACTGCAACATGGTGGGGACTAGTGTTTTCTGTTTCAGGAGATTTTGTTCCGAAATACTTATTTACAAAGAAATATTTATTCCCCTGTATCCATCACTACAAGCGTAAACCCAATCTTGCCAGAGTCTATGTTGTCGACACTCACAGCGATTTTAATATTTTTTGTGAATATATTCATGACTTTGGCTGAATAATCGCTGTTGGTTCGAGTTTAATTCTTTGTGCAGATAGAAGAAGTAGTATATTCATATTGCTGACCAAAATTTTTGAATCACAGTCTCCCACCTGTGGTATACTATCATTTGTACTTTTTTTCATATATGGTCGAGTTAATATAGAGTTTATAAATATTTTTACAATGAGAAGCCTAACAACCACTTCACAAACCATTTTTCTTGCAGAACTGAAATATCTTCTCTGTTTTTTCAGTTCACCAGGAAGCGGAAGCATGGAAAAGTTTGATTTCAAGAAGAATCAATGGGAGATGATTGACATGAAGAACATGAATCTGAGGATACTCGATGCAGTGAAGATGAATTTGAAGTGATTTGATTGTATATGACAGAGAACAGTTCCTTGTGTTACCATTCAAGGACATGCTAGGAGATTATGTTTGTATTCTTACTATTATGGAATTGTATGATAGATATTCGACATTTAATAGGTGCTCGTGTTACCACTAAGTAAATTTTTTAAACTTCAATAATGATTTCTTGCATTATTTACCGTAAATAATTTATATAGTTTTCCTAAATGTAATTACTCAATGACATTGCCTAGAAACTTCAACTCGCTGGACATAGCTATGTTTACTACTGATGTGAAGAATTTTTTTTAAATGATTTGTTTGTATTAAATACCCTATATTTGTTTGTAGCATTTTTTTATGTGAATTCCGATTATGACAGTGTGTAGTCGGACAGAATCGATGCCCATATAAAAAACGATTGTTGGTTGATGGACATTTTCACTCCTGCTCTCAGTGACAGGAAAACAGAGTTTATAAATCTTACATTGGCCTCGACTCCTCAGCCCTGATTTAGATTGCTTATCATTTAAAGTTAATTTTTGGCAAATTGGAGTGGGATTCTATATCCTTGTTATGTGAAATTTGTCACCAATAGTATATGTCGTTGGAAGCGAGTGTTATATATAGCCAGTGGCCAGTAAAAATTAAATTGATTTATTAATTTCTATTCAGTTTTTAATGCCATTCGATATTATCTGGGTATGAAATATTGCCTTGTGCATTCTTCAAGCGGTTTCTTCATCAATTGAATTCACTTATCATTTTGTAATTAAAAACAGTGAATGACATGCAATTTATAAATTAGCAGATGCCTTTTACTGCATAATATAATATATTCAATATAGTTTTCCTTAAAACAAACCTTTTTTAGTGCTATCTGCAAAATACTTACATAATAAGTTGCATTCACGCCGTATGTATGTTGTGGTTTAAAATAATTTCATCTTTGCTGTATATTTTATCGTACATATGCAATCAATACTTTACTACCATGCTTCTTCATTTACTACCATGCTTCTTCATTTTTTAACTGATTTGAAAATTTGCTGGTTAGTATTTTTTATCACATATTTTAAATTAATTCTGTTTGATTCACTGCATTCCAAATGTTCAAAGCTTACTTTGTGTGAGAACTTTGTCCATTTCTTTTTGGAGGATTGCTTTGGTTTTCAGCAAAAATTTGTTTCTTTGGTATCAAGTAGGAATTTATTGCTGTTGTACTTGGAAAAGACGATTGCACTTTAAAAAAAACTTGTTATTACGACCAAAATTAAAAACATATTCACGAAGAAGCGGAATTCCAAATCAAAAATTTTACAAACTATTTACTTTTCCGAGATTAAAATAAGTTCGTAATATTTTTCAATTTCAAATTGTATTTCTCCCATTTCATGAAATCTGTACATGTGTTAGAGAGAGAGAGAGATTTATTGCCACAAACGTAAAGTACTGGCCGTCATTAAAACCATATACAATTATGGTGGAGCGCTGTGCACCAGTAAACAGCTAAGAGATACCGTGCAACTAAAGCTTATGAAAAACTTGTGGCATAAATTCCTTTTTGTTGAGCTACGCTAAAATACTTCATGATGCGAAGACGTAATAGTGATGATTACAAATCAAGTGTGAACTCAAGCGACAAATATCATTGAATCATTGATATAAATTATGAGTCAAAATTTCCTTTAAGTGGTTGTTTGGTTGACACAAGTTGCCGCATACCCGCCAAATAATGCGCAAACAAAGGTCACCGTCAACCCTATTTGCATAAGAATTAGTCAAAATGACTTATGCAGGTCCCAACAAGGAAGTATAAACAAAGATGATTAGTTCCACCGAGAAGCGAGAATATTTTAGGTGTTCGCACCGTTTTCTCCCACTACCGAAAGTTTGTCAGAGAGAGAGAGAGTTTTTATTTCCACAAACGTAACTACTGTTCCGCTACGGCTTCCTCCGCGATTGAGTCCAAGTATTTAGAGCAAATAGATGGCATCTAATTTCTAACAGAGGCGGACTGGTAATCGTAAGATCTTCTTCTTCATGTACCAGGTCTGTTTCATTATTCGCTATTTGATTAAGGTTTTAAATCTAACCTAAACTAGCAGAATAGTCTAACTTGATTCTTCGCTGCCTATTTTAACACCAATTCCAGCGTATATCTCAAACATCCACAACAACATGGCTTCGATCAATAATACCACCAAACCAAAGTCTAAGCAACGCCTGAGTAGAAGTCTTCCCGATCCAGGCCTTTCACCAATTGGATCTGTATTGCAACAACAGAAGGGACACTCTAAGTTCCAGATAAACCTACAGGAGGCAATACAAACAAACATCATGAACTAGTTACCATCCCTAATTGCCAAATGCTTAACAGAAAACTTCAGCTCTGCAAACTTTTCATCAGAATACCTACCAATGAGTCCAGGTCTAAAAGAATGCATGGAGGAACAGATGATATCTCTGAAAGAAATTAAACAAGACCTTGCTTCTATCAGAGAATCACAAAGCTTCCAATCTGAGAAATATGACGAAGTTATTGCAAAGCAAAAAGTTACAGATGAGAAACTTACTCTTTATAGCAAAAAAATACGAGATCTCGAAGAGTTAGTTTACGATCTTGAAGATGAGTTATTTTATGTCACAGAAAAAATAGAAGAACATGAACGTCGATCTAGGATGGATAACCTAGAATTTCATGGCATTCCATCAACCGAAAATGAAGATACTGATGAACTAGTAACACAAATCGGAAAAATTATCCATGTAGACATAAAGCCTTCAGACATCTCCGTAACACACCGCTGTCCAACAAGGAATACCAACATCCATAAACCAATTGTAGCGAAATTCACAAACCGCAAAATTCGAGCCAAGATACTCAAAAATCGAAACTTGATCAAAACCTCTAGCAATACAACATCTATAAGAGACTTGTCAAAGGTGTTCGTGGTTGAAAACCTAACCGAAAGAAATAAAAACTTATTTTACCAAGCGAAGGTCCTCAAGAAGCGATGTGGTTACGCCTTTCTGTGGACATCAAATGGCAAGATATTGATTAAAAAGAACAAAGACACGAACACTCTGTCCATAACTGATGAAGACGATCTGGATAAAATAAGATAAGTCCAATGATTTTTCCACTGCTATACTTAAGTAAATTATTAATTCCCCTTATGACCTATTTAAGAACCTTCAGTATCTTTTGGAAAATTTCAAGCTATGACATTCCCCCCATCGCACTAGCCTATTTGATCACAATCTATTACATGTTCTTTAAAATTGTATCCATTATCATCACCTATCTATGACCTAAACAGTGATCCCAACCCAAACTGGGAATCTATCAACTTTCACCCTGAAATTTCTTCTACCCCAAGTCAATATCTTGAAATATCTGATATCAACAGGGTAACGTCAAGTTTTCTACCTTCAGAGTTCATCATTTTGCACCTTAATATTAGATCATTACCTAAATATTCTGATAATTTAGTTGAATTGATTTCCAATTTTTGTACTCCACCTCAAATCATCGCCTTAAGCGAGACCAGGATCATAAGTGACAGTGTTGCGAATGTTAATATCCCTGGGTACACCTTCATACATGCTCCATCCCCAACTCGAGCAGGCGGTGTTGGTTTTTATATTGATAGCAATTTAAATTATCATGCATGCTCTGAACTCGGCTTAGGATTTCCTAACTGCGAAGACATTTGGATTGAATTAAAGAACTTCCAACCAACCTCAAAAATTCAAAATCTTGTTGGTGTAATATATAGGCATCCCAAAAATAATATTCCAGCGTTCACCACAGCAATGTCCTGTCTATTCGAGAAGCTGACAATGGCTAAAAAGCAATTTATAATATTAGGTGATTTCAATATAAATCTTCTTGATTCTCATAACAATCTCACTACCAAGTATTTAGACATGCTCATGACTAATTTTATATGCCCGCTCATTACCAAACCAACCAGAGTTACCTCGACCTCTCACACCCTTATAGACCATATTTACACCAATACCGTAAATTTCTGCAATTCATCATTTATTTTGCTCAGTGATCTCACTGACCACTTTCCCGTAATGTGCACAATATCAGCAACTACTGGCAATATAAAGACAAACACTCGCATGAAACGTGACATGACTAAATTTTGTGTTGACCTGTTCAGATTGGAGGTTGAGTCGATCTGTAGCAATTATACTAGTATTAGCATACATGAGGAAAACTTCAATAGCTCATTCGATCTTTTTCTTAGTCACTTCAAATGGTTGATTAATAAACATGCTCCATTAAGACCATTTTCGCGTAGAGAAAATAAACTTTACTCTAAACCGTGGATTACTAAAGGAATTCGTAAGTCCATCAAACATAAAAACAATACGTTTAGAAAAAAATTCTTAAAGGGAAACTCATCCCAGCGTCTCCACTTCAAAAAATACAAGGACATTTCGACGCACTTGCAGAGAAAATCAAAACAAATGTATTACCATAATATCCTTGAAAACAACAGAGGAGATGTGAAGCACACTTGGAAAACTATCAATGACATTATTAGAGTTAGGTCCAAAAATGAATCCATCGTCTCTGAATTGGAGCTTGAAAATGGTGCCACAGTTTCCGACCCCGCCAGAATATCCGCCGAATTCAATAAATTCTTTTCATCTGTAGGAAAGAAACTTGCTGACAATATTCCACATAGCAAGAAATCTTTCAAAGCTTTCTTGAGTGCTCCCTCACAGCACTCTTTTTTCTGGAGCAAACGACACCTTCCGAGGTTCACCAAATAATATTGAACCTGAAAAAGGGCAAAGCAGTTGGACATGATGGTATTTCCCCGTTTTTCTTGAAAATAGTCGCAGATATTATTTCTCCAGAACTGAGTCACTTTTTTAATTTATCATTCAATTATGGTATTTTCCCCTCCTCATTAAAGATTGCCAGGGTTATACCAATCTTCAAAAGCGGCAACAAAAATAATCCCTCTAATTATCGGCCAATTTCCATTCTATCTTCAATTGGTCTTATTCTGGAAAAGTTAATATACAAGAGAATGCTAATTTTTTGTACCAAATTCAACTTGATCAATAAATGCCAATTCGGATTCCAACCCGACCACTCTACTAGCCATGCCATCCTAGACTTAACATCATATATTTATGACAAAATAGATAAATGTGAGTTTGTCTGCTGTGCTTTCCTTGATCTAAAGAAAGCCTTTGACACGGTGGACCACAAAATTCTTATTCAAAAGTTGCAACACTATGGTTTCAGAGGTAATGTAAGCAAACTACTAGCTAATTACCTGAGTGGTCGTTTTCAATTTGTTGAATTAGGTTCTCATAAGTCCCCAATGTTGCCCATTCAGTGCGGAATTGTCCAGGGTTCAATTATCGGGCCTTTGGCTTTTTTTCTCTCTGTAAATGACTTGTCGAACTGGTCTAATCTTCTAACCAAGCTCTTCGCCGATGATGCCTGCCTGCTTGCTAGTGGAAAAGACTTGACCACACTCCAACACACTGTAAACTCAGAAATAAATAAAATATATGAGTGGATGTTATGCAACAAACTTATTGTAAATGTTGAAAAATCTAAAGTCCTGGTTTTCAGCCGAAAATCGCTAACAACACATGCCAACATTCTAATCAAAATCAGGGGGGTTGCCTTGGAAGTCGTCCAATCCTATAAATATCTCGGGCTCCATATAGATAATAATTTTAAAATGGAACACCCATTACTATCGAATTACATAAGAAATTGTCGAGATCGGTTGGGATATTGGGAAAACTCAGACATTATGTCCAGGATGCCACCCTGCGAACTGTCTACTTTGCTCTCTTTCAATCCCACATACAATATGCCATAACCGCTTGGGGCTCAGCAGCGCAAACTAACATTCATAAATTGGAGATCTTACAGAATAAAGCTGTTAGAACCCTCTCTAGAGCATCTATTCGTACAAACCTAAACACCCTATACCATAAAACAAGGGTGTTAAAACTATCTGACATTCACACTCTAGAGATCTCCAAAGTTATGCACCAATTTCAAAACAACCACTTGCCCACAGCTTTCGACAATTATTTTGTTTCGCTTACCTCTGTGCATGAACACAACACTCGCTCTTCAACCAAGTCCAATTTTTTTGTACCTCGCTTTTCACTGAGCAAATCTCAAAATTTCCTGAAATACAAAGGTGTCATAATATGGAATAGTATTCCACAAAGTTTACGTGAAAGCACATATGTCTCTTTTAAAATAAAATATAAGAAGGTCATGCTTTCATCTTACCTGTCTCGGGTCACCACATCTGTTTGATGTGCTGACACCCTCCACCCCTTGTCATTGTCAACTCAACACTTGACTTCCCCAAAATCCACAGTAACTGAAATAGATAGAGACTCTGTAAATATTGAACTTGTTATTTCCCCCACCGTGTCAGTGCACAGCCATGTGCCACTCATACAATAACCAAACTATTCATCTTGCCAACATCAGGCTCAGACGGGTTATCTTGGATCCAATCAATACCGGTAGTCTATACCGGTGGGGTCACTTCACCCATGATCCATAATTTTGGTCTCAGATTGTGTACAAATACTTAGCTATCCTTTATGTCTTTGTCAAGTGCCAGTATACTCACCAATTTCAAAATTTTAATGATATTGCAACTTACTAAATTGATGTCTTTTCCATATACTGTTTGCTTGGGTACCGATACCGTAAAGTGTTTACTGCATTCATGTTTTCAATGATGGACTAAAATTTTCTAATATACTAGTTTCTTTAGGTACATATTTTGTCTAACTAGCAATACTATTTACTTCCACATTTATTTATTTTGTCGATTATTTTCAATCGCCAATTAAATTTTATTATTTTTTACCTTTAACGTCAGGTTGGGTCCTTAGGCTCTTCCCTCTTCACACGACGTCTCCGGCACCAAAGCACCTTACCCACTATACTTCCACTTGTTTACACACTCTCGTATCCCTAACTGCGACAAACAAAACTATTTTATAATAATATAAATATGCCAAGTTATCGGCTTCCCCTCGCGGGATAAATATGAATTCAAGCTCAACTCAGGCAGTGTCTGTATTCCGCAGTATAAGATTTCGCTGACGTTGCCATGGTTACTCACAAGACGGTGCTCGGAGTCGTTATCCGTTTCTCCTTGGATCGGGTGTCTTTTGGGTATGCAGGTCGCCTCGACTTACTTTAACGTAAACCTGTTCTAATATTTATTGTTTGTTTGATTTATATATTACTGTTATTTATCTATTACTGTTAGACTTGTCATGGGTGTCGCTGCTCGATCACCAGTCTTGGTGTCTCGCGCCTCCCTTCGCCCTAAAGTACCATATTTCCTATTTCTTGTATTGTGTATTCACATTGTGTGCTTTGGAATGGTGAAAAAATAAATTACTGATTACTGATTACAGACATCGGCGATCATGGCCTTCCATTCCAATCTGTTGTTAGTTCTCCTGATGAGTTCATTGTTGGCGGATTCTTTCTTCGTTACGTAATTATTCAGGCTGTCGGTGTGTTTTGTGCGTTGTCTTCTCTTACTTTTGGTACCACAAATCTTTCCACACAGTATTTGCTTTTTTATCCCATTTGCTCTGTTTATGTGCCCAAAAAATTGTAGTTGTCTTTTCCTGATGGTTTTAATTAGGGATCTTTTGTACCCGGCCTTTTCCATTACTTCTTCGTTTGACATTTTTTCCATCCACGATATTCTCATAATTCGTCTGATATACCACATTTCTGCTGCTTCGTAAGATCACTCGTATTATTGAGCCGTTTAAACGGCTTTCGTCTTCCACGGATAAAAATATTTGTTATGAGTCAATAACCTCGACTAACCCATGAGCGTTGACGCATCATAATAAAACACATACAACTGGTATAAAGCAAACAATATATTTTACGGGAAAATAAATAAATTGCAATAAATATACAAATGGCAAAAACCGTATGAAAAATTGTTAAACCAATAGTTAGAAATTATCTCCATACGCACGAACAATTATTTTCCCGTGTAGGATGAATTTTGAATGCATGAGAAGGTTCTGTTATTTTGTTATTATTAATCTAGTTATTATAACTCAGTGTTGCAGGTGTTGTGTTCGTTGAGGGCCGCTTTGCTACTTCAAATGAAAACCGTGTCTTACCGTACTTATGGTCTCTTCAAAGTTTGTAATACTCGCTTCGTACTGTACTGTATGACCCCTTTACCATTGGAGTGCATTGTTTGCATTCTAGCATAGTCCACTCGCAATTGTTCAGTTTGTAGAATTGAATAGGTAACGGTGCGGTACCGGTACCTACCTGTACCGTAAAAGCAGCTAACTTCGGATGATTTCACTATATTTTAATCAATAACTCTGCCGTTTGTTGTTCGATTCGCGGACAACAAACGGCAACAACAAACTTGAAATATATTACATTGATGTAATTCTCTGCATCTACATATAATTTTCTCGATGATCGGATCAATTTTTCTGTCTTAATTGTCTCATTTTCTGTGATCTGTAACGACGCAAATAAATATCTAACTTCGGATGGGTGTATCCCCTCCCTGCGTCACCGCAACTAGAGCGAAAAGTGCGTGCGTGAGGACAAAACACGCTTTCCGTCGTTGCGTAAATGCCAGATGTTCAATCCACGTCGCGAGCGACGATGATAATGTCGACCGTGGGATTTCCGGCGCGGCACTTTTAAGTTGATTTTATACTAAAATGTCTCATTTTATTTTCTCTTATCGTAACATTAGATCCGAATATTCACCGGTCATAGTCAATTTAGTTATAGCCGATGATGTTTTGATAGCGTTTTTTACACTCCACAGTCACACCATGTATAGTCGCACAATATATATTATTGAGCATGCACATGACAGCACTCTTTATTAAATTGACCTATTTAAATGTCGGCCGTGCATAAATCACGACAAAACACCGATTTGGCAATTGGCAACTTTATTAAAATTGCTTTCGTTAAATTCACAAAACTTAACTCACTTGCAGCAATGATTGTTGTTATTTATCGCTGGTTATATATTTTTATATTTACGCAATATTTCTCGACTGCTCACAATTTTTCTATTTTGAACCATGTTGCCGTACCAAATGGAGAAATTTGAAATCGTCAAATCGAATGGATATGCTTTTCATTAATTGCCATTTTTAATAAATTTAATTGAATTACATCTCCAGCATTTGACGCCATGAATTTACGATCCACAGAAAATGGTTGATGCGTATATTTTGCCGATATTAATCAATCGAACAAAATATCGTTGTTATTTTCAAATCTACGCCAACTCGTCGGCGCCCGAATGTCTGCCGTCAAACCTGTAACTCATACGACATCTCGCGATCAGTCTAATTTTCTATATACATTGATAACGCCCTCTATCGAATGATGCTATTTTGACGAAGTTAGCATCAGTAGAAATCACGATTTGAGCCGCTCGAAAACGGAGTGTCAATTTTATGCTAAAACATGATTTTTTTAATCATAAAATAAATTAAACTGCGCAATTGAATATGATAACAGATTTAGATATATAATTCCTCGCTATAGAAACTGTCATAAGCACAATATGACGCAAATTAGTCGAGATAAGAACGATTAAAAATTTCATCCGAAGTTATAAACCATCCGAAGTTACCTGCTTTTACGGTACCAGTTCATGTCGGATACCGGTATGGAATTGACTAGTCAGTTTGTTTCAGATGCGTGGACTCAGTGGAGGAGAAAGTTGAAGCAGCAGTTATTTGAACCACCCTATTCCTGTATTCCTGAAATAAATCTTTGCAATTGCTTGTTCTAGTTTCACTGAATTTAACAAATTTCAAATTACAGAATTAAAATCTAATCGATTTTCCATACTACTGTTCTAAGCTATCAGCACTTATCCTTGTATTGAAAATATTTTCCTAAATTCGAGCTGTTAATTCTACTTAAAATTGTCGGGGGAATTGTTACCGATTCACAGACAGATTGAAGATTTGAATCTGGTTTAGTTGGATTCTAACTATTGAGGCATGACTGGTCAGAATATTCTCATTCTAATTTAAAGGTGATTGTGCTGCTATTTCTAATGTCTTGGTTTTTCATGTTAGGATAAGGTCAAATCACGGTAAAGTTGACTAGCACTGAACAAGTCTGAAATCAGAGGAATTATTACCAGTTTGAAGACTGATTTAAGTTTTTATTTATGTCTAGTGTGATTCAACCCCAAAACTTGATGATAGTTATTGAGGCATGGCTGGCCAGAATATTCTAATCTTAATATATAAGGGATTGTGCTGCTATTTCTACGATATTAACCTTTTGGTTTTTTATGTTAGTTCAAGGTCAAATCTTAGTAAAGTTGTCTATCACTGAACAAATCCAAAATCCTTTAAATCATATAGGAATCCATCTCAGTCTGTTCGTTAATCTATGGGTAGCAGGCTTGGGTCACCTGAAAATCAGCTCGGGTCGCTTGTTTTTTTTTTCAATAAAAGCTTAGTAAAAATTGCCGGCTTGCCTCTTTCATTTTCTAGTAACTTCCATTTTCTAGTAGATATCATTGTTTAGTTTATATAAAGTATTTAGGTGTTATTCATTAGTAGATGTCGTTCATTAGATTTTGTTCATTCATGTGAGCATATCCTTGTGTTATAACATATTACAAATTTTTTTTTATATTGGGAACTACTGTATTAGAGTATGCTTAGCCTATCGGTTTTCCTGTAGTTGTACGTTCTGTTGAGAATGGGACAAGTTAATTTAGGCAGGTTTCATTTCCTTGTGTCATTGCGACTCACATTTATCCATTTCACTGTTGTTTATGGAATTACTTTTACAAGGCATTGTGACTCGAATGACCTGTGACTCGACTTGAACCGCGACTTCTACTCGACATTGGTATTTACGTATTTGGTAATGGGAATCATTGAAGCATGACTGGTCAGAAAAATCCCAATACTTATGTGTCAGAGTGCTGTTGCTGCAATTTTCTAGTTTCCCATGTTGTCTTTAGGTCAAATCGTAAGTTGAACAGTAAGTTGAACAGAGTTTTATGTTTGTCCTAAGTATGATACAAATTTAACCTGAAGACTGTTTTCTATTTTTCAGAATCTAATCTTTAAAATTTAATAATGCTAGCTTTTGTGATATTTCGTATTCTCAAT